CTCCTCCTCCTCCTCCTCCTCCTCCTCCTACTACTCCTCCTCCTCCCTCCTCCCTCCAGGCTTCTGCCCAGGGATCGACCTAAACAGTGGTTTGCGTTTTCGTGTTGTTTTCGTGCTCCCTCTCCATGTCCCCAATCTAACTGTGCGTCGCAAAAAAAACGAAGTCGAAACGACAACGGCCCACGAAATCGCCAAAACACCGTTTGGGCCGACCCCTGCAATGCCCATGGATGCCGACTCCGCCGGGTTTCAGAGTACCTCCTTCCACCTAGCGGGGGTACGCTGGGAGAGCTGACTTACACCGTCCTGGTGGGGGGGAATGAATGGCTCGGACGATGATGCAACAAGGTACCCAGACTTCCGACGTCGTAATTTTCATGACGTGACCCCCAGCAATCCGGGACCGGCTTTTCATCCTGAGTCGTTTCTTGAAGGCCCAGAGGCCCGGGAAGGGCCTGCCCCTGATCCCGACGACGGCGAAAAACCTTCCATCATGATTCTTTTTTCACGACTCGAGGGGGTATGCATGGGTGCTCCCCATGCCTCTCCCAAGGTGTGTGTGTGTGTGTATGTGTGATGAGGCCAGGGCCTCGGGGCACGGCCGTGGCGCGCCGAAGGCCCGGCGGCGGTGGCGGCATCTCCAAACGAACGAACCACGCGCACCCCTACTTCTGGCGGGGCTGACCCGCGCCTCGCAACTTGATGGGACGCACAGAGGCATATGAATACTATAGGTCCTCCTTTTGAGGCGCGCGTCCAACCCGAACATATAATATGCCCATCTTGTAGTACATCATTTCCCGAGCGGTGTGGCCAGAAAGCGCCCACCACGACGCACATACTATAAGATTTCTCGGTGCGCGCGTCGCCCCTGGGGGGGCGACGCACATAATATAGTATAAGCATGTTGGGGTGACGCCGACCTGAGGCTTCGCCAGAAGTATGGTTAGGTCGGGCATGTCCTCCTACTGGCGGACCCTGGCAGAGCAGTGCACACGAGCAAACAAAACAAGACATGCGAACATAGGACCAAACAAAAAAACGAGAAGTCGCCCCCAGACCAGTTTTTACCAGTTTTGAATCGTCTTCCCGTAGAGGGACATGCCCGACTTAGACAACTTAGACATACCGGTGCGGGTTCTCGGAGCCCGAGGGGGGCCCCCGTGCGGGCGGGGGCCTCCGTACCCGGCAGCAGGCACCCACAACTCTTCCAGAGGTCCAGCCCGACAGATCTAGGGGGCGCAGATAGGGAGCAACATTAAA